ATGGACGGAGTTTGTCCCACGGCCTTGGCACAGCCCTGGGAAGGGAAAGGCGCTGCTGTGGCCGTGCCCAGGGCCACGGAGGGTTTGCTGCTGAACGTGTCTGCTTCTGCTTTGCTAAGAGTGGCATGTTTCTGCAACAACACTGCCCAGTGCTTCAAAACTTTCAAATTCTCCCTCTTTCCTGTGCTCGCAGCACAACTCCTTTGCCCTGGAGGTGGTTGTTCAGCATGTGCCTTTCACCAGCCCCAGCAAGCGTCTGGATTTCACAGCCCTGTGCTGCTGAAAACCTCCCAGGCTGGAGGCACCTGGACCCAGGAAGGGAAGAAGACCTTGGGCAAACATCTCCCAGTCTCACTTAACCTCTGCAAGTTCTTCTGGTTAGTAGGGTGCAGATTAAACATTAAGCCCTTAAAAACATCCTTTGCCTCAAAGAAACCAGTGTAAACGCAGGGCAGGAACTGGTTAGTACGGATGGTCATGAGAGTGTACCCTTGTCGTGTGTACAAGGAAACACAGATCCAGCCTTTGCAAGTGGTTTCTGGCTGCGCAAGACATGGATCTTGGCAGAGGTCATGAAACACAATTCAGGCCAAAGGCTTCTGCTTGGAGCTTGTTTATACCAGTTTACAGGCCAAGAGCCTTCCCTTCCCTTTTCTTTTGGGAGCCCTAGACCCTCTTCTTTGCAAACAGCTCTTTAGGACAGCCCGGGAGCTGGGGCAGGCACCAGCTGGGGGAATATCTGTTCCCACCAGCCAAAGGAGCAGCACATCTCCCCTCCCAAATACAGGCTAGAAATTCTCTCCAAGATGCCGGTCTGAGCTAGAGGCAGCTCCAAAATTGTCAGAGGGTTGAACACCAGGTAGGCAGCCGCTCTGGAAAGAGGGGTGCTTTGACTCTTGCTTGGGAACCTCTACGCTTGCCCCAACCTCCACTTCCAAGGCTGTGTCGAACAGACGTTAATCAAATTTCCTCTGCTAGTCAGTTATTCCCCCTGTGGTTTCCACTTCCGCAATTTCAAAAATCTGTACATGATTATGCTATTTCTCATTAGGGAAGGAAGCTGTCCCAAGAAGACCGACACCCTCAGAAATCCTGAGAGTTATGGTTGAGTAGAGTCTTCCAGTCCTTGAAGCTAAACTACTCCCCTCCGGAGTCAGGAGCTGACGAGCAGGGAACAAACGCAGGTGCACAACCCACAGCGTGGCTGCAAGTGAAACTGTGACTTTGAGAAGTGCTTTGCCTTTATCTGCCCCAAAAGAGTGCAAGATCACACTGCTACGTAGGAGTTGTGGCTGACATTCCTGTAGCAGAAGAGAAAGCATAATGGACTTAGGCATGTAGGTTACAACAACTGGTCAAAATTAGGCAGCTCCTGAGGAAGAGAGTATCAACAAGTACCTCTGTGAGCTGTGGAACTGCTGAAATCAGTTTTCCTCTGACTTTGTCTCAAGAGTGGGTAACTGGGGGGACCCTGTTATCCAACAAGGGCTAGACCCTTGCTGCAGCCCTTCCCTTTGGGAGGCAGCATTAGAGGCTCTCTTCCCTGATCTGTGACACAGGCAGCCAAACCTGGAGAAACTCAGCATCTCTGAGACTTTGTTGTCTCTTCCCCCAATTAAATTTGTGTGCACATGGCTGTGAGAAAGATCCTGCAGCCCTTTAGCTGTGGTGGCAGCAAGGAAGCCTGGACTTCCCTGTTCCATCATCCCCAAGGGTTATTGCTGCTTCCTCTCCTCCAAGTGAGGGGAGTGGGTGGCTGCAGCGTGCTGTATGGCTTGTGGAGACACAGCTGGCGTGCGGCAAAGCTTCTGTGGGTGTTGAGGTGATAGAGGACTGATGCAGACATATCTGTCCTGCCAGCTGGCTGCCACGACTGGCTGAAGGGCACCGCAGCTCAGCGAGACCCCGACAGCCACCAGCCTGGTGCTGCTTGAGCAGGCAGAAGCTGCCCACTCGCTGCTAAGGGCCATCTCCATCGAGCATGTAAGACTGAGTATGCAAGAGGTCAAGGGACAAAATACCAGCCCGGATGTACACCTCTACCCAGCTCAGCAAACACTGCAAACTCTTGAAGTTTCAGTCCTAAACCTCCCTTGAATAAAACTGGACAAGTTGTGTCTCTGCAGGATTCGTAACAAACAACAAACCTCGTTCTAGATGTGTTCTTTGTTGGGCTTGAATTCAGAGCCTCAACAAGATGAGCCTATCAAAGCATGGCATACTCAGACCCCTGCAGAAGGTAGGCAATGCAGAAGCCCATGTGCAATGGTTTTGAAAGAGACTGGCTGCCTGAGGCAATCCCTGCAGCACAGCAGAGTGTCTGACAGCATGAGGGGGGCAGAAGTGGGTCTTCACATTAACCCAGAGGTCTTTAAGGAAGAAGGATTTCACAGCATGAGGAGGAACATTTGAGGAAGAGAAATAGACTGTGCCCCAGCCACCAGCAGTGGGAAGGAGCTGGCTGCAGCCAGCTGGTCTTGCTGAGCTGGTGAAGCCAGTACTGGCGCTGCTCCATCTGCAACATTTGCAGGTCAAAAACATGGACTCCCACTCATTTATGGCAGAGGATCCAGCATCCTGCAGCCTGGGAGGACAAGGCACTGATCACTGGCTCGCTGGATTTACACTCTTCCCCCTCTGGGTTTCCAAAGCTGCCTCCTTCACCCTGTGCCTGTGAGATCAGGAAAAGGACAAGCCCAGTTAGAAGCCCCACCAGTCAACGGCAGATGGAGGGCACGGCCCTTAACTTTGGAGGACAAATTAACCACAGAAAGGGAGGTGACTCACCAAGCAAGCGATGAACTGAAGCTGTGTCAGCAGCTGGGAGGCGTATATCCAGGTTCAGGGACAGCATAGGCAGTCCTAGCGCCTTATCTTCTGTACTTGCATGAGGAAAGTCAGCAACACGTTAGCAAACCAGGAGCTGAACACTCTCAAATATTGCTTGGCTAAAGACTGGATCGAGTTCCCCCGAGCAGCTGTTTGTGTGATTTGAAAACAGAGTCAGAAGTGGACTACGGACACCAGAGCATGGCCAGCCAGTCGAGCCACAACCCTGCCAGCTGCTCACGCAGAGACTCTGCAACCCAAAGCAGCGTTTGGGAAGGGCAATAGCCAGGCAGGTCTGGGAACTCCCAACAGGGTGCTTTAAAAGGCAGGAAAAACTTTGCTGCCAGAAGCAGTCTTGTGCATCAGCTAGTTAGAAAACATTTCTCAAGGAAGCAGGTATATGTTCACATTTACAGAAAAGACTGTGCAGTGAAAATCTAGAAAAAAGGACACAACTAGCAAGAATCCCGCTCTTCTCATACCACAGCAAGACAGAGAACAGCTTTCATTTTCTAGGAGTTAAGGCTCCTCCAGCTTCATTAACTACCAGCCCCGTGAGGCATCACCCATAACGTTCCCATCACCAAGCCATCCAGGCTTGATAAAGAGCTCCCACTACTTGAGGCAATCAAGCATAACATTTTCCTTTCGGGTCTTCAGTCGCGTAGTTTAAAGCAGATGTAAGCTTCAAAACCAGCTGCCTGCATTGCTCAGCTCCTCAAGACCCCTCAGTTGCGTTTTCTGGCTGAGCACCTTTGTTACTAAGTTTAAGGTATTTAAGGGAGTTGTAAAATAGTGATTTATTGTATTTAATGCTAAACTCTTTCACTTTTGGAAAGCAAGTGAAAAAAGCCTATTCATACCCCTTTACCCTACTGCCATCTCTTTTAAAAAAGAAGTGCTCAGCCTCATAATGTTTACTACATTCTGGGACTTTTGGCTGCAAGAATGGAGTTTTTTGGCTATGGAAAGAAACTGACAACCAGGCGAAGGGGAACCTCTAGTGGCCACAGGCTTTCTTTGCAGCAAAGCCTCATGGCAGTGCAGAGCCGGCATGAAAATAATCGGCAAATTGTTTCTGCAAGCTCAGCAATCCCTCTTTTCCACATTGCATTGCCTTAGAGCACAGCTTTGTTCTTGGAAACACCCATTTACAGCAGCACAGGAGGCCCCCGTGTTGTGTAGGAGGTGTATATGTTGGGTTTTGGGGTTCTTTGGTTTGGTTTTGTTTTTTTTTTTTCTTTTTTTCCTCCTTCCTGCCAGGAGTTTCACTCAAACCCCAAGAATTTAGTGGAATTCACTGGAAATTCAAACCACTTTTTTTTTTTTTTTTTAATTCATTGGTCTTTGCCTGCAGAGACTTTCCAAAGTCATTTTGCCTGGAGGATTTTGATATCCTCCAACTATATCAGTAAGTTCCCATAGTTCCCACAAGTCTCATATTTAAGTTTCAGGCGCTGGCAAAGACTAGGCTTGAAGCAACAGGAACATTTATTTAAACCAGTGCTGCTACCTAGAGACACCCCCTTCAACCACAGCAAAAAGCATCTGTGCTGTTACCAGGGACACGGGCAGGGAAGAGATCCAGGTTAAAACCAAGCCATCAAGAGGAACAAAAATACTAGTTTTAAACAAGCAGCTCCACGTGACCGAGCTGCCTGCCTGCCGCTAACAGCCCCATCTGTGCTGGCACAAGGCAGGCACAGCCTCGAGCGAGAGCAGCACTGAACGCAGTGGCTGCAGGACTGTAGCCACGTCAGTGACAGCGTTCACATGCAGAGGGTGCATCAGCACCAGTGGTCTGGGCCACAACTTACGTGTCTTGGTGGCCAGAAGACACCCCTAAGCTCCATCTGAAACCCAGGCTGGGCTGGGGCAAAACACACTCTGGCCTCACTAAAGGGAAGCAGGCTCATTTCAGAATTTGGCAATCTGTATGGTTTTTTTTTGTTTGTTTGTTTGGTTTTTTTGTTTCTTTTACAGTCAGTTTGGCACCTGATCTCAGTGGATGCCTTGTGAAATCTCCTAGAATGGTCAGGAACTGTGCAATTGCCTCACTGTAGCGAAGAGCTCCTGTGAGATAACACATGCTTCAAGGTTTACTTCTCAGTTTCAGCCATGAGGTCTATGGGAAGGAAAATAACTGAATGAAGGACAAAGTCAGCAGCCTCCACAGTCAAACATCTTTTAATATAATCCAAGATTCTGCACAGTAACAAAAATACCATCAATGTAGGGCAGTGTTTCCAATGATATGGTACAAAACTGGTTCAGCAGCACACCACCGCTCATCTGAAGATAAACATCACCCCAAGTAATTCGCACACTCATCTCAACGATGAATAGTCTGAAATTCATGACACAGAGCCAGCAGAAAGGCATCTCAACGTTATCAGCCATGTGCCCAAGCCTCCAATCTATCCAACAGCCAGACTCCAGGTGCCAACTGCAGGAGCTGAGCTCTTCCAGTGCCATGGCTGCAGGCGAGCTCTTGGCCCCCACTGGCCGTGGCATCGGTATCTCTGGGGTGCCTGTGGGGTCAGCGGGCAGAGGAGCTCACTCCCCATCAGAAATAAGGATGGATTTCCAAGGACAAAGTGCACAATTTCAATGCACACGCACAGAGCAGTTGATCAACCTGCAAGTGCCACCCCTCTATGGCTAAACACGTATCGCTATTGGCAAGATATTTAACTCTTTAAAGAACAGTACTGCCTGCCCCTCCAATTTGTCTTCAGTTATTTCAACGTAGAGGAAATGGGAGTCTTTCCCTCCCCTTTGTTAACTGTGGCCTCTATTAATAGGAGGCTGATTAACATGCTTCATCAGAAAAGGGAGCATGTCAAAGTGCATGATCTGTTGGAACGACAGTTTGGGTGCAGTGATGAAGTCTGTCCAGCCCTAGCTGACAGCTGGAAATAGTTCCTGTGGCCTGGGAACAGCTTAGATGCCATTTACAATAAATTCAAGTTTCTGATGTCAGGAGTCTCAAGTTTCTGACTTCAAGAGAATATTGCAAAGCAAAAATGGCTTCTTGGGAAAGCAAATACAATCTTGAAGAAACGTGGTAGCTAACGCCCAGCCTTCAGCTCCCCAGCTACACACTGAAGAGCTGATCAAGCAGCACTGGCACTCCCGCTGACACTGCTGCTAGCAGGACTACAAACTACACCAACAGTTGCTCAGAGTTACAACGTGACCAAAACACTTCACAGCCGGGGTACTTGAGATACTTTTAACTTTCTGATAAGGCGCCCATTGTAGAAATTGTCTTAAAAACATCTGTGGTCTCTGCCTCAAGTTTTGCATGAAACAAAACTGTTGGTTTAATTACCTGAACTTTGATATACACTTGGTCAGCAAGAACCATTAACTACACAGGCAAAAATAAAATGCCTCTTCACTACTGGAAAGAAAACCAAGTCACAACGCTATTCCTCTAAGGTGTCTCATAACCATGACAAGAATCACACATGAGGATTTGCAGATGAAAAGGAACATTCATTTTTACTGAAGTATTGCATGACGATGACACAGCACTGTACAATTCCTCTCGCTAGATTATTGTGGTCTCTTGCTTATTTAGGCTATGCAATTTAATTTAAAACACACATACTAGTCCTGCAGGACACCTGCAGCAGGGTAGTGCTGTATCGAACTAAAGCCATTCCTGCAAACATGTGCCTCAAGTTTGATATGAATATACGGAGTCAGAAGGAGGGTCACCTGGTAACCCTTCTGCCCCTTGCTGTGATTTGCAAACTCATACAGGTCACCACTCAAATTGCTCTGGGCACAGCGTGTGCTCCAAGTGGCTGCAAATGCACAGGCACAGAGCAGCTGCTGGAGACTGCCAGCCGCCCAGCATAACGTCTGTCTTTAAGAATGAACATTTACCTTTACTCCCAAGCAAAAAAATGGTTGGGCATCTAGATAAGCTACCAAAAAGGGGGTCTTCTGTGGACCTTTGCTGCCAGAGGAGTCAGAAGCTGTACTCGTCTGGCACAAGGGAAGCTGAGCTGAGGCCTGTGATTGACTTTTGAAAGACACTCGAGACTCAGATGCCTAAACCTCACTGATTTTCAGTAAAGCTCCTTGGATTCTCACACCAATACCCTGTGATAAACTTCTGAGCAACTATGAGTTATTTCTGATTTCAAGCACCCAAATCCCTGTGCACTAAGAGCAGAGCAGGGAAAGGAACAGCGTTTCTGAGATATGGCTTAAGACATAGTATAGTACTCAGGTTTCGCTGACATAGCTGCATCCAGCAGGGATGGGGAGTGAGAAAATCACATCACCATGGCCAGCTGCAGGAAAGATTCTGCAGATAAAACCCTATTCATTTTGACTGTAATACTGAAGTCCCACAAATCCTGCCAACACACAGCTCCAGGGAATTTATGACAATTTAACAAGCTGAAAATTAACCCTATTGTGTTTTGTTGCTTGGGTGGTTTTTTTTTTTTATTTTTTTTTATTTTTTTTTCCCCAAGGACACCTCAGACAAGCTTGAAAGGGAGGAGATACAGACAAAACTGAAATCCCACCTACATTTAAGACAAGCTACTAAATGGGATATATTTTCTAAATGATTTCTTTTGTCTGAGGAAGCTTATGGGATACTAGCAAGTGCAAAGTGATACAGCTAGCTTTAAAAAAATAATAGAAGGCAGTATCAGCTAATATTTGTAAAAAGCCAGATATGACTGTTACAGATCTTTCCCATCAAAATACGTAAGTATAGCTGAATTATGTCTCCCTTTCCAGTTCAATCAAGCTTACAGTAAACCTATGAAAAGACAGCTGGACAGAATTCACTGAGTGGGAAGTGGGAAGAAGGACCAGTGCCGACTCTCAAACAGGGTGAAGTAATCTAATTGCAAATATAAATGGTGCAAAAGGCATCTTAAACTGCTGTATACGCAGTCTAATATTTCAAAGAGTTATTTTGACAAAAATTCAAAATGGCACCTTAGGAAGCAATTCACATTTTTGCCAAGTTTGTTTATGTACTTTGCAAGAGGCAACACTTTACCAAGACACATGCTTTTTTCATTGATGGCAAGCTAAACAAGCCAACATTACCAACAAGCCTCACCTGTGACCTCTGAATATTAACATGACCCTGGCCAGCCTAGCTGGGATTTTATCGCTATAAATTTTTAATTTTTCCTTTTAATGAACTGGAAGTTTAAGTAGTAATAACATTTCCCCCACTCCAAAGCAATTTTTTTAGATTAACTGCTGAAAAAAACAGCAATTCCTCTTTCCCTTCCTTTTACCTGTTGTGGTAAATCATCTTACTAGCAAATTACCCACTGAACCTTAGATAGCATCCCGTCATATGCTCTGGACTATCTGTCAATGTCTATATACTTCTGCTTCATGTGGGAGTTCTACAGCAGATACAGTAAGCTTCAGATAAAGACACTGGGCAATTGCCTCCAGGCATCACACGGCACAAGGCCTGCTTGCAGAGAACTGTATGAATTCTCAGGAATGAGCAAAAGTCTCTTTGCATCATCCAAACCCTACCAGAACACTGCTGGCAACAAGCGTTACCTTTTTCAGGATCTCATCACTGAGCAGACTCATGATAGGGAGAAACACTGTCACCCAGAGTTCTTCTGGGAAACTCATCCACTTCCAGAATAATATTACGCAGAAGATTTCCCTCCCACCTCCCTTCATTTACTTGTGGGGAGGGCATTAAGCTTCTGTATCACAACACCTAATTCCCCAAACATGATACCAGCACAGTTATTCTCAGATTTAAAGCTCCATTTCAGCTTCCAGGAAAGATGAAGAAAGGAAAGTTTCTGAGCACTGCATATATGCTCTGGCTTTCAGCTGCCTGAAACACGAGTCAGTTGAAGTCATTATACTGATATGGAATAGGAATGTAAACAAAATCAAGCCTTTGAGACATCGTTGTCCAGTCTGGATGCCTTCCTCGGGGGCCAACTCCTCAAACAGATGCAAGTGGAACGTGACAAGGGTTCAGGTGCAAGGAGAAGGATAACTATCAACCATGATTCCTGTGTGAACTGAGGGCTTTCACAACTTAAGAAACGTTATTGATTTGTCTGCACAATATCTGCTTATAATAGGGCAATGATTTAATGAACTACTGTTCTATGTCAAATCTGAGGTCATTCATGTTCCCTGTGAGCAGACATCTGATATTACTGGCTCAAGGCAGACATTAGTGCCAGTGGCACACTGCTCTACAGTACACCTCAGCCAGCTCTGTGCTTCTGAGGAATCGCATCAAGCCACAAATCTAACCTGTGATATGGACTTGTATCCGTTTAGGATGGTTTGAAATCATTACAGTTTCATTTTTACCTAACAACAGTACCTGAATCCAGATCTCTAGAGGTAAAGAGCTAAGGAGTTAATCTGATACATTGCTTCACCTTGACCTATTTTAAATAAAATAAGAGTAAACAACTGAGCCCTGCATTCAAGTGCACCACTCAGTACTTACTAAAAACCACTGAGCCCAGCAGAAATTATGTTCTAACTTAGCTCCTGCATTAGAGTTTGCCTTGGGAATCCTAGGACGAGTGAAAAACTAGATGATTAATGATAGTCACATCAACCATTCATGGTGTCTCTGAAGCCCCACACCTCCAAGACAGATATCTGGAAGCTTTCAGAACACAATGGCTGATTATTGAAAGTATTGCAGTGGCTGGTTCTTCCGTGGTTCAGATCTGCATCGAGGTAAAGAGCCTGGCCATCACCACCTCCTGTGAACAGACAAAGACAAGTGTAAGGGTGTCTGTGCACTCCTTAGCATGGGAAACAGTGTGCTATTGTGGCAAAGAACCAGCGGGATGCTGGGCTGCATCAACAAGGGCATCACCAGCAGAGACAAAGAAGTCATTATCCCACTCTACTCAATGCTTGTCAGGCCACACCTGGAATACTGTGTTCAGTTTTGGTCCCTACCATACAAAAAAAGCTGTGGACAGGCTGGAGAGGGTCTGGAGAAGGGCCACAAAGATGATCAAAGGACTGGGAAACCTGCCATGTGAGAAAAGGCTGAGAAAATTTGGTTTGTTCAGCCTTGAGAAAAGAAAGCTTAGTAGAGACCTTATCACCATGTTCCAGTATTAAAAGGGTGGTTACAGAGAAGATGGAACCTCCTTTTTTACAAGGAGTCACATGGAAAAGATGAGGGGTAATGGGGTACAAGTTACTCCTGGGGAGATTCCAATTGGACATAAGAAGAAAACTTTTCACAATAAGAACAGTCAGTCATTGGAATAATCTCCACAGGGACATGGTGGATTCCCCAACGTTGAACAGTTTTGAGGTTCAGCTGGACAGGGAGCTGGGTCATCCTGTCTAGACCATGCCTTCGCCAAGAAAGGTTGGGCCAGATGGCCCCTGAGGTCCCTTTCAACCCGGTGCTCTATGATTATAAAACACAGTGGAGTTAAAAGCATTTTGATTATCTGTGGGTCTGTGTCAAGATTCAGAAAGCTTACAGTCAGAGAATGCAGCAAAGTGACACGAATTTAGACAGAAATGTGTTAGGAAAACAAAAAGGAAGATTCTCATATTGCTTATAGGGCAAACATCTAAGAATAGATACCAAAACCATCTGAAGAATCAAAAGGGTGGAAATTCTGGTCTACAGCTGGAATCATGTACAATATTAATTTCTATATATCTACTACGCAAGCTTGTATTTCTCTTATTACTATCCATAGTGTAATACATGGTAAATACAAGCGACACTCTTATCTAAGGCTGACAGAAAGGGCTGGTGGGATGTATGCTCAACAGTAAAGGTCTCTGAAATATCTGTGATCCATCATTAACGGTGATTTCTAATTCAGTTACACATGTACTGAAGCTCTCACCAGCCTAGCTGATATGGGAGCAGCCCAACTTATGGCTGATTAGAGCACAGGCTACTAAATGGGAAATCAGCCAACACTTGATGTTACAGAGAAAAATCACCAGGCTAGTTGCTCTCCTAACAAGTGTCAAGTAAAGCTTTTTGTGAAAAGGACAACTATGATTTTATATCTGTTTCCTGTAAATCCCATTTAGGTGACAAATTTACTAAGCAGGCTTTTGCCAAAGTCAGCAGCATCACAGATCCAGTGAAGTTTCAGGAGAATTAACTTGTTTTATAGTTTACCCTGTGTTTCAAAAGCCTCAGTGCAAAGTCAGTTCCTCTCCAAGATCTATTTCTCATCATGAATGAGGCAGTATGAAGGTATGGCTGTGCTTAAAGCTTACGAATTACAATCTTACTCTAAAATGATTGATATGCAAGTTTTCCCACAGAAAAGTTTTGTTGGGTAATAACATCAGGTTTTGGCCACTTTTATCTCTAACTGTAATGATACTGACATACATATATGGTAAATATAGGTGACTCTTTTATGTAGGGCAGATAGGGAGAGCTGGTAGGATATATGCTCAAATTCTCACACTGACTTACCTATAATGATGCATTCACTGCTGCCAGCCATAAACATGGAGGCTGTTTTGGAAGGCAAGTTGAAGTGCCGGGCCGATAAGAAGGGCGAAAGGCGATCTGAGGGGTCTGATGGGACACTGCTGGAAGAAAGGGTGCTGGAAGCTGGTGAGGCATGATTTTTTGGCTCTGAACCAGTCGTGGCCAGTTCTGGGTGTTTTATGATCACCCACTCGTAGCGTTCCACTTCTGGTTGCAGCTGCACAGGGGCAGAGAAGAGCAAAGTTTTAGTTAGTGCAGGTGCACTACACAGAAAGCTCTGCACGGCAAAGAACATTTAAGCCCCCTCGGCTCCACCTGTATGATTAGTGGCAAAGATTAGATCAAACTGTCTTTTAGGCCAGGTGTTATTTTATTTATATCTTTGCTTTTTAGGTGATTGAAGAAATGATGCAGTGTTTTCTGAGTTACCTTATTACATCTTTTCAGAAAATATTCTGTGCAAGGGGAGAAAAAGGGTTAGCACAAAACTGAAAAGTACATTTTCCTCCTCCAAATTAAGAGTTCAGTAGACTTTATACCTAGGAGGGTGCATAATCCAGCCTGTTCAAGTGAAAAGGAAGTAAGAGTTACACCAACAGAGTGGTTCTGCCTTGCTACTGGGTAGCAACAACAGAATTTTACTCACCCTAAATACAAAGCACTCCCCAGTTCCAAAGAAACTCAGCTTGTTCCCTCCTCGTCTGCGCTCGCTCCAGTCAGTTGACAGATAAGCACCACAGACCTAGCACAAACAGCACGGTCAGGGGGCTTTCGTTGAAGAAGAAAGTGTGTTAAACCAATTGATACCAACATTTCAGATTCCAGAACTGAAGGTTTTATTTTAGTTTGATTTTGAAAATCACTGTATCAGTGGATTAAGGCAGCACAAGATTTCAACTGCTTTAAGCCACTGGTGGGTACCCTTAAATCCTATGAGTTTCATAAATTATTTCACATCTCTGAGGCCTTAAAGGAGAAATGTTCCAATATAACCCAGGTACCAAAATACAAATCAATCCAAACTTGAGAAGCCTGACTTCCTCATTTTGGCATCTAAAGCAACAGTACTGTCACAAGTGACAATATGAGCAGTTCTACCTGAACATTTTCTGGTCAAAACCAGTAGCCTTGGTGGCTTTCTCCATTTCAAACTGTAGGTTAAAATCAGCTTAGCTAAGGCAATGCTGAACTACCTCAGATATTTAAAGCAGCCTATTCAAACAGCATGGGGTTCACTAGTTTCCAATAAAGAGAAAACATAGCCTTGGAGGGCTAAGCTTTTCTGTCAAGTCTTTTGTTTGCACTAGAAGAATTTCTCACCACCAGCAATAAGCATCACAGCTAATTGGACACAGACCAAACAATGAAGCTCCAAGAATGGGATGAAAGCAATCCCACTGGTTTTTTTTTGTTGTTGGTTTTTTTTTTTTTTTCCCCAGAAGCTATGGTTAAACAGAATTGTTTTAAGGTACATTTACTGTTTTGCCTCCACCAGCATTACAAAAGCAGCTCCTAGGACAAAATCACCGAAGAGCATTTTTTACACAGATAAATCATGTGTGTAAGCAAAAAGATGGCCCAAAACTCTGTTTGATCCGATATGCCCAAAACATACGGGAGCCAGAAAATCAGAAGGCAAATTTTCCTCTTTCTAAAATGTAACTATAGACATATGAGTAAAGGATGAATGCAATCCTTTGCAAAGAACCAAAACCCACAACCAAACAAAACCCCCATACTTTTCTTCTACTTTTTTGTTAGGATTTTTTTTTTTTTTTGAGGGGTAAGAAATGAACTATACTATAAAAACCAGCATCTCATACAAAGCTAGACTTCTGACATGCTCCAAAACAAGAAGCAAAATAATAAAGAAATATTTTCCCTCTTCCTTACAGATACCACAGGCCATTGGCATGTCAGTGCTGGTTTGGGATGGCCAGAAACAATACACAGAACTATGAAACAACCCGGTGCCTTAGCATTAGGTAGATGCGAGTAAGTGTAGAAATGGGCCTGTTTCCTGGACAGCAATGCTGCAGGAACATAAGCAGAAATGTAAGCCCACAGGCTGCAATATTAGCTTAGCATTATATGCAGAATATTTAGAAGTCACGCACAGTGGCACAGACAACCAACACTCATTACAGGAAGCTCCTATGTGTCCTCCTTCAGAGGTTCTGTTAAGCTTTCTTGTTTTATGCATTTTTTTTTTAACAAGCATGATATGAAGATAATGTTTCTGTTTTCATATTATGTTGTCCAATATTGTCATATGCAGCAGAGTACAGAACCAGTACTCATTAGGTCAGGCACCTGTGTGCATTTCTTCTCAGGTTCTGAGAGCTTTCTTGTTTTATTTATTTTTTTTCAAACAAGAATTAGATGAAGCTAAAACTTTTGTTTCCACATGATGTAGTCCAATATTATTCATACCATTTAAATTCTGCTACCTTCTCTCCTCATATCCTGGAGAAAATGAAAATATCTTCTATGAATTATGAGTTTCTTAACACAATCCCCCAGGCTTTCCCTCTGAATCTGCAATCTGTCCAAGAGCTCAATGAGTTACTCTAATCCATCATCCCACATTACTTACAGAAGAAAGAATAGCTGGCCAAGACCTAGTTTACAAGATTTACCCACAAATGCACAGTCCCATAATCAACAAATGGAACCGTTTAAAGCATGTATTGTTAAAAAACCAAAACTAATCCCCAAGCAATGTCAGGTCCCTTGCTTCTTCATTTTATTATAAACAGTTGTGTGGTGCAATACAGCATTACATAACTGTCTAAAAACCTAATTTAATCAGTTGCCTTTCACCTCACTCACCTCTTTTGCTGTGGTCTTGATGAGGAGAAGAGTTGGTTCGTGTCCCTCACTGTGAGAATAGAACCTGAAGTGCAGAGTACACAAAAATGAGCACTCAGCTACCACCAACTGCAGTTCTTTTCCTCCTCAATGTCAGCCACCACCTCCTCCTTTAACCGATGGCATGGCAAAAAAGACATCTGAAGACTAAGCATATTCCTGCAAATGCTTTCTACAGTCCATTGTAAACAACAGAGTTGAGTGTAAACTAATATTATTAAGCAATTCTTCTCTACTCAGATCTCTGTACAGTTGCTTACACCTCTGCAGAATAACTAAAGGACTACCTATCACAACAGTGGCATTTTACAGCAGTCTGAATCAAGAGAACCTAAAGAAAGTTGTGTCCTGAGGATGATGGCTATCTAAAGAGCTTTTGGTTTTCATAGAAAATAATTATGATGCATTCTCTTTGCTTGCTTTTCCTCACCAGCACACGGGGCTGTGACAGCATACCACTCCCTACCTCGGTACCTCAACTGCAGATGCTGGAGGCATTATTAGGAGCTACAGGATTATAGTCTTCTGTGTCAAGTGCAAGGAGAACTCATATCTAGTTTATCCCACTTCATAAATAATAACAATCACATTAATAGGTAGAAGAATCTCCAGTTTCCACTTCTCTTATTCTTTGGATCAGTTTGAATGTGGTTATCTATCAAAAGAGCCACTGAGTTAAACCATTCATACCCAGTGGGGAATGAACCAGTCTCAGACAAGCATATTCTGTGAACTGATGCAAGTTTGACTCTTCCAATTGGTCCTGGACAGTTTAGAACGGCTTGCCATGTTCTGGCATATGAAGTACCCTGGTCAAATGCTGTAGCCAATAAGAATTTGTCACATTTACATCCCACTGCTAATAATATTCTTTAGGTCAAGTTCTGACTAGGCATGGCCTGCTTTTTGGTCAATCCAGTGAGCAGTTCACCAGTTGCTCTTTTTTGCCCTACAGTAGAGAAGAGCGGGGGAGGTCTTCCTTACCTGCTCAGACTACAGCCATGTTCCAAGGTGGTGAAAAGCAAGAGGGGCTGGCAAAGTGCAAATCGCTCTGGGATCCACGACCAGATATCTCGCATCTCTTTCACACTGACAATTTCAGACTTGAAGTTCTCAGCATGAACTGCTAAGTGCACATTCTGCCTGAGAAATACAATACAAAACATTGAGAAACTATAATTTAACAACAAAACAAGTTTTGGATTACTGGACAGTAACACGCAAAGACAGCTGAACACTGAAAGACTGTGGTAGATAAGCTATTGTTCAAAGCTCTAGCCCATGGGATTAGAAGGCCATGACTTAGTGAAGATAATAAACTACTGCAGTTTAACACAATCCTCAAGGGGAAGTGATCTGGCATTACTGAAATACTTGGAGCAATTCCTCTGTATGGCAGCTGTGGCCCGCACCTTTATATATATCGGACATAATGGTGAGCCAGGTAGGATGACCATGACCTTAAATAGATCAATTTATATTTGCTGTTTGAGACAGTCTTACTGGCACTAGTATTTAAGCATAGAGAACAGAATACCTAAAGAAACAGCCAGGATCTGAAAGGAAGAGGCAGTACCTATTCCCCCTCCGAGGTCCTGCCTGTATCATGGAACTAGAGAATTCCTAAAACCCTCAGAAATCTTAGAGGAATCATTATTAGTAGGCTAAGAAATTTGAATCCAGGGCAAACATTTGAAGCTTTTGTAAAGTCCCACCTCTTGGAAACATGTAATGACCAATGACTTCCACTTCATTAAGAAGCAAAGAAGTTCCTAGGTTCGTGATTACAGACAGAGCCTGAAAACACGAAGGAAAACAAATCCCCATACCCCCCGAGGGGTCTGATACAATTATAAGAACTGATTCATGGCTTTTAAATGCTTGAAGGTAATAATAACACTAATCATCATCATCATCATCTTAACCAGCCTTTATTTCTCAGATTAAATAAGCACACAAACTCAGAGCCTGGGGATTAAACAAGTGTTACTGCATCCATGGCTGGTGTTAGAGACTTTTGAAAGGCAAGGGTGACAGCCAAGTACATGGCAGAAGTGACATAGGAACTTACACAAGATTCTGAATTACTGGGTAGCCATTAGTTAAATAAAGCTTTATGCAGTTTGCGCTGCATGCAAGGGCTCAGTTGCAAGTGTTTCCCAAATTCTGGTGGGTTTTTTTTGACAATTACACATTTCATTCCTCTTAGTTTCATGGAACATAGAGAAGACCTCAATACTGCAGATCTGAATGTACCTGAAAAGCTTAGCTCCCACTCCCCAAAACACACAAAGTATACATTTTGTATCATTTTTTTTTTTTTTTCTTGTAGAAATCAGCAGCATTTGCACTGTACTTCAGAGCAGTGCTTGCTTGGAGACATTGGGAAATGCTTTCTGAACTTTACTGTGGCTGACTTAGTGTCAGCAGTTCTAATGAAGTGACACCCTGTGTCTTCCTACAACTTTTCCATGTAGGTAGAATATCACCTTCAGAAACAGATCTTTCTGATTTACTAGAAAGCATTTACCATTGTATTGGCTGTTGAAAACTATTCCAGGCGTGCCATTCCTGCCCACTGAGTATCATGGCGAATCATTTTATAATGTCACCATTCAGTTAGTAAAACCTAGACTGTAGCTTGACTGAAGGATTTGAAATAAAATGACCTGCTAGTTCCCAGTCATAAATCACAGCTGCAGGTGCTTAAGACTGAAACCTGATCCTGAAACCTGAGCAGTGTCAATACACAGCCTGAACCTACAAACAAAGCTCTGTGCTGCTTAACAAAAACACAAATTGTTTTTTGTTGTTTTTTTTTTTTGTTTTGTTTTGGGTTTTTTTTTTTTTTGGTGTTTGGTTGGTTGTTTTTATTTTCTTTTTTTTAGGATGGGAGGGGGAATTCAGAAAATTGCAACTAGAGTTACAAGTATCTAACCTGTATTCATCCTCTCATTTTTGAAAGTACTTTTGGTATAATGACACTGAAAATCATCTACTTCAGTTGGGTAGTTGCTTTTCAAAGTAATGAATGAGTGAAAATGAACAGCATGCAAGTTAGCTAAGGTAAAAAAAAAAAACAAACCAAACTACATTTCCGTCTATATTGACAGATAAAAATTAAGTTTAGCTTCCACCACACCAGAGGTCTTTGAGGGTTATCTGGTTGAAAAGCAGAATTTTGACAAAACACTACATTTGGACTGGCACCGCCTTAAAGTCTACCATTAGAACTGAACAAATTCATTAAGATTTTACCCTGCATGAACATTTTCCTCAGTTCTTCATGTTGGCTTATTGGGATCGGCATGACAACTTTCTATTTATCGCTGATGTTGGAAAGGCATGTTCAACTTTTATTATCTCAAAGGAAATTAGATTTAGAAAAGTAGCACAAATTAAATGTTTAATAAAACAGCTTACTTGTTATTTTCATAGGACTGTTGTTTCTACAGCTGTATCACTAATACAATGTGCTTCAGAGACCTCAGAGTTCCTGAAGATAAAGCCAACGTTGATGACATGCAGTAGCAGCTGTCACAGAAGATATGCTCTGTATGTATTCCAAGATAACACACACTACTCCCCAAGGTATGACTCACTGAATTACATCTTCCTGCTCTATTTTGTTTTGGGTCAAATCTTACAGGTCCTGCATTATCTTTAAGATCCATTATAATTTCAGTTAGGCATGGCAGAAGTGATACGTTGTTTCTGAATCATAAATAGCAATATAAGCCATATGTGGTGTATAAAACTGAGACCTAATCCCGTGTTGAGATCAGTGTGAACAGACACCCTGCATCTACCTGAGGCCCCTCAAACCCAAACTATGTTCCTCCTAGCAGAAATCAAGGCTTTCTGGCTGCTTTCAGAACACTGTAACTACAGCAAAATACATGAACACTGAAGATCTGCTTGTCTGGAATTAACAGTTTGCTGATTTATTAGGGGTAAAATCCTTAACACAGAAGATATGATATGAAACATGCTTCAATAAGCCTCTTAAGTTCTTTCAGACATGAAAACACAAGGAAATTAATTCCGATTTTGATTTTATAAATTAGTACAAATGTTAGTGTGCATCACTCACTAAAGTTAACTCAGGGCACCTGCAACAAAATCAGAAGAATCTCAAAGGCATTAATTCAAACCCATACATCTGTGGTATTTAATACTCATACTCCCTTCAAGTTCTCTGCTTATCAGGTATCACAATCCACGGGGTTTTATTCTTTAAGATTTGCTCTTCAGGCCAAGACTTGATGAATGACTTAATTAACCATTAATGCTACATGGCTGAGTAACTCTGACCTCATTGACACAGGAAAATAGTCTTGTCTTCTTGCCTCTAAAAAGACCCTACCTAGTTAAAATATAATCTAGTACAAATAGACACGAGTCACTTTTATGATTGTACCAAGTTGGGTTCAGACCAACATCTTTTCCATCAACTGCAGAAAGCTTGCAAAGAAGAAAAAACGCTGAGTATGTCTCACATCTATTGCAACAGCATATACCAGGTTTGGATGTGGGACAATACCTAACAGCTCTGAAGACATGTTACTTGAAATGTTCTTCTTTAAAAAAAAAAAACAAAAAACAACACCAAACTTTTTCTTGCAATGCAGAAAGTACTTATATCCCACCATTAACATTATTATTTTCCATTCTGGAAAACGCAGGCTTGTACTGTTGTATGAAAGTGCTATGCTGACTAGCTTGGGTCTATGATCCATTATCTAACAACTTTGCAGGTGCTTTGAACTAACTTTGCAAGAGTGTAACCAGGAGACATTACACAGCAATTGGATGCTATAATTGCTGCCCTGCTTCTCCTGCCCCAGCATTAGCAATAATGACAGCCTTGAAAAAAAAAAAAAAACCACAGCCAGCCAAAGACAGAAGAAACGAGCAAAGGAGCAAAGTCCAAAGATTCAAGTGCTTTAACCTACCTTTTGGGAGATGCAACACTGCAAACAGGAAGGGTGGAGTGGATATGGAATTGACAGAAGGAGAACGTACAAGGAGAAAGACAAAAAAAGATAGAAAAGATCAGTGATTTCCTACAGCTGCAACAAAGTGCATGAAAAGAGCCTGGAGAGAAACAAAGTAAGGTTTGATTTGAATCACCAAGCATGAGAAAAACAAACAAACAAACAGAGAGGTTAAGATATTTCTCATTTCTCCATATATTTTTTTCCTTTCCTTTTTGCTACCTACTCTTAGTTATCTGATTGGAAAATAATTCATCACCTCCTTGCACAGGGCAAACACATGTGGACAAGAGAACTCACTCACACCCTGTTGGGACCTGGAGAAAAGCTCACTTCTCCAGCACCCACATCTGACTACACTGGGATCCCAACTGAGCCAAGTTCACACCAGTACTGTGCCAGGCGATACTGAGAAGCTTCAGTATGTTTACAAAAGTAGCCAAGAGAAGATAACAGTTTCTCATTAGCAACTCTGGCTGATAAGGCAGTAACTGCCAGTATTATTCGGGTACAAACTCACTGTATTTTCCTTTGAAGGCATCACTGTTGTTCTGAGCAAGAATACCTCTACAATATTTAACACAGCAGGAACCTCTGGGGTTTTTGTGGTTAGTTGTTGTTGTCTGTTTGTAGTTTTTTTGTTTGTTTGTTTTGTTTCTTTTTGTTTTTCTTAAAGAAAATTTTGATTTTAAAAATTTATTTATTTTATTTAAAGCTCTCATCCTGTTGCTGAAGAATATGCTCAAAAAGGATGTTACAACTCTTCAATACAGGAAGAAAAGACACACATCGGAAGAGTTAATACTTCTGTTTGCGAGTCCCAAATACAGTGGTCTGAACTCTACCCGATGTGACATTCTAGCGGCTGAGATCCTTGAAATATTTGAGACTGACAGACCAGTCTCTTCCAAGATATGAGCAAAATAAAACACCAGCTAATTGTAAGCCAAACTGTGAGTCTAAAAATAAACTGTTGGAAAAGACTGGAGGGACCTTTACATTTCTTTAGGCAGATGAAAGAGGTTCAGCTAACTTTTTTATAGGCTGAAATCTGCTAAGTATATAGTTCAATACCATGGAATGTATCTGTAACTACTGTAACAAACTCAGCAACACAATTGGCTGTAAGATCCTAATACATCAGTGGCTGGTACCTTTTGATTTTTGAAGATTTAGAGAGAAGGAAGGACTGTCCCTCTTTCTAGAGGGACCAAGTTCTAGATATCACACTTACTGACCCCAGGAGAATTCTAGAAGTCATCTTCCCTTCAGAGTTCAGGACAGCTGATAAAACTGTTCAACGCTTGAACTTAGATTTCAAAACTAGTTGGGAGAAGTTTTCTGCAGCCACAGAAGGCCTTAGGAGAAACAGAACATGACTACAACAACAGCATTTAACTGCACATACATTTGCACTTGGCAAGATGCTAATTTTGTTTAGATTCACGTATTGCTGCCTTTTTTATAAACATGGAGAGGTCTTTCAGCTAAGCTTTTTATTATCGTGGCTTTTACTATTATATTGGAGCAGGATTTCATTCACTGGTTTCACAGCTGGGTTTTCCTCCCCTCATTTCTGAAAAGAAATTGTGATTATGCAATCATCGTTTGGATAAGTACCCTCACTCTTCTCTTCCATGGTTCTTTCAAAATCATTATTTCTAATAGTATATGAACCTGTCACAAAATAGGTCAACTCCTACTTATGATTACTATACTCTTGACTTTCAGGGGGCTTGCAGTTAAACTAATTTTAAAAGTAACCTGTAAATAAGACTTATTTCTTCCTTGCTCTGTTAAAATAACTTCCCAGTTCAGCAAAACATTTCCAGCTGTGACAGTGCTTGCCTACTTACACTAAAGAAACTACTGAATTCAGAGTACTGAGCAGCATGAAATTGACATTTTATACAAATAATCTCATACTTAAGAATTAATTTTCACATTTGTTTGGGTACTTTCCTTCCACGCAATTTATCAGTGTTTTTTCCAAATTTGCTAAAATACTTTTTAATTTAAAAACAGCTTGTGAAAGACACTTTTGAGATACAATACTTCCAATTAATACTTGTAAAAAGTAATTATAAATTCATCACTGAGTAAGCTATGAGAAACTGCTTTGTTTCTCTTGTATCACAACATTTCAGTTACACTTCTCATTACAATACCAGAAGTGCTTTAAATCTGGGGCTGCTGACTTCTTCTGAAGGGCAAAAAAATCAGCAGATACCGGCATGTACCAGTAGAGCTTCCCCACCATTCACCCGGGACTGACTGACCACTCATTCATCATGCTGGGGAAACTCACAAGACCACTCACACTACCTGTAGTGAGTGTCCTACCTTTTCTGCTTGACCGTGATGCCCTTCTGCTGCAAAGCCTTCTCATTAGCCATCTGCAGAAGCTGGATCTCCTTCCGTGAGAAAAGACGGATAGCAAAGGCTTTTTCCAAGAGCCTCTCCGGAGACACTGACTTGGCAATGTCTCTCACAAAAGCTCGAATGTCCTGCTGGATGCTGTCAGACTCCATGGGCTGCCCAGCTCTGACTTTGTGAAAAAATTTCAGAAGAGCCAGCGCAACACGATAGAGAACTTTGTAGCCCTCCACCAGAAACACATCAAAGACCCGAGCAATGTACACCATAGGCAGTTCCCCAAAGAGCCACCGCTGCCAGTCGGAGTATACCTCCAACACATCCTCGGACACAGCCACCATCAGCTTATGTGCTGCCTGACAGTACTTGTTAACCAGGTCACCAAAGGTCATGCAGGAGGACTCAAAAGCTAAGAACGTCTGATCGATGAGCCGCTTAGATGGGTCATTGCAAGCAAGGATGCGACAAACCTGTTCAAAGCACTCTGCCTCATCTTTGCTGTAGTGGAGGAGCAAAGCTACCACAGAAGGCAGGGCTGGGCAAAATGATATGTCTGGGAACTGATTCGCAATGCACAATATAATCTTCCTGACTGCCCCAATGCCTTCTGCGTTCAAGCAGTACGTGGGGACCAGGCTGTTATCCACAAACTCTGGTAGTGGAAGGGAGCTACTGTTACGTTTTCCAACAATCTTTACAACAATGTCCCGGTACACATTTGCATCTGGGGTCACTGTGCGGCATGGGATATTGTTAATTAGTTTGTGGTACACTTTGGCTCTCAGAGAGTGGTTCTTGGCCCAGTAGCCCTGGCGGGCCAGCTGCTTGAGCTCCTGGAACTCCGTGCAGGTTAGCTCCTTTGCATCCTGGCTCTGGACAGTAACATCCATTTTGTCCCAATCCACAAAGCGGTTGTATTCATCCATGGCTCCAGGAGAAGCATATCAGATGAATCATGAGAATGGAGACCTTATTTGGTCATTAAATGACTTCCAGCTTCTTCTGCAGAAGTAAAAAAATAGAGGTTTGAGTAACACGTAATCTCCCATTTTCTTTAAGAACACATATGTACATTATATTCAACTTGATCCTGCAATGCCAAAACTGTTTTCCATAGCAAAGGAAGTTAAAGATACATGTCTTTTTATTTTTAAGGCAAATCTTAATTCTATTCTGTCAGTAACTCATACTGAAATAATTTATCAATGGCCAGCCAAGAGGTTCTGAGGACTTATCCACAGGAAGTTAATTTCCCTAACTGAAGGTCTAAGCTGCTGTTAACTTCTCACTTAGAAGAACAGAAGCCTCCCACTTCAAAAATATCCACTGTAAAGCCTGTTCAATTTGCAATCTTTCTTCCTAATTCCCTGGGGAAGTAACTGTTATTTATGCTACAAGGATGCAGCCTCATGAGAAGCTTACACTGTTCTAAGACTGCATGGCCAGTGACAAGATATACCGATCCCCTGCTAGCCACAGCCATGTGTCCTTAGAAACTTCTTTGTGCTGGTACGAGCACTCATGTGGCCACACAGTTGCTGAAATTAGCTTGTTAATCTGGTACAATTTTTCTTTTCCATCGGCTAAGCAAGATGTGCAGCTTATGGTCAGCCACATAGTGTCAGAACAAAGAAGACGAGTGCAGGACAGAATCACCCTTTCTGACTGCAGCCCAGGCTCAAATCAGCTTAAAACAGCTTCATGAAACTGCTTCTTAATTCTCTTGGGTACTGCGCTGGACTTCTGCTCCTGACCTTGCACACACTTCAATGATCAAATCACCCTCTAGAGGGCCTGCTATCACCAGCATTAGAAGATTTTAAAAATGCACATCACTGCAATAGCACCAGGAGCTGAAAGATCAGGTTCTGGCCTCTAGTTCCTTGAACCACGTGCTTATGTGATCTACCAGTTGATCCAGCTTTAAAGTACACCTGTGTCCCAACAGACAGCATGACTGCAATCACTAGCAGCCATATCGGAATCAGCTTTAATCACATTACTGCAAAACAAGAAAGGGAGATACACTAAAATGCACTAACAGCAGGCAACAGGTTTGCCCAATGCTGGAACGTCTTTTCCAACAGTTCCTCAGTGCCACATTAAAGCTAGGAAGCACATGTTGTACACTCTGCAAAGGCAGATAATCCCTATAAAACACAACAGGCCTGTAAAACTGTTTTGTACAATTCCGACTTTACACAGCAAGGTTAAATCAACAACAACAGTTACTGAAATGCTTCCAAAGAACCCTTAGCCATTCCTGTGTCACCAGACTGGAGAATGCATGGAACTTGACATTTATCAGCATGGGCGGTCATACAACAGGTGCAATTAAAATGAACTGAAACTCATAATGTAGATACATCATCAAAACAGACAACTCATCCTCCCTACTTTACTACAGGAAAGCAAAACAAACATTTTGCCGCAAGCAGACAGAGGTTTGTAAACATACAATTAGCATTAGCTTGGACAGCCATACATTTAATTCAGACAGTTCTAGATTCCGACTAAATATTAATCTGGGTATTTTGAAATCACAGGCTGAAACTGCAAAATTTAACTCCTCTTAAAATGTTGGCAGTAACAGACAGATGCCTTTCAGAGAAGGCTTTTGGATGGCTTTTCTCCACCAAATATTTATTACTTTTTTAATTAATAAAAATATTATTTTTGAGCCACCTTTGTACGATGTAAGAACAATACAGAAATGCTCACAATTCTTCTTGTTGTATTCTTTCACATCTGAAACTAATTCTCAGACTGTAATTAAAGGAAGCAACACATTGTCTCAACTTCAGTTCTGAAAGCAAGGTATCTTATGATGTTTGGAAATGATACCTCTCAGTGTGAGCTGAGAGCGTGTTTTCACTATATGCAAAGACAGTAATGGCAGGTTACCAGTCCTTTGCAGAGTCAGTGACAAATCCATGGAAGTGAACACTTTCCTGTCATTCTCCACCTGGGAATCACAGGGAAACTCATTATCTTTTAAAACAAATCCTAGAATGAAATCCTTGTGGAAAAGAGAAATGTAATCCTATTTGGCAGTGACCAAAGCATGGAGAGATGAACCACTCTGTTCACAGTCACTTCAGTATAGGAACTATTACTATCCTGTGCTTGCTGGAGTCTGCACTATCCAACAGCTTCCCCCTTCTGTCATCATCCTTGGGGAGCTCCTTATATTTATATAAGGGATGGTTAAGTAAAATTTCCATCATATGAGACAACTTCTAAGATATGCAGTTACATCTCGGCTGCCCTTTTTCCTGTAAACCTTCTTCTCCCTTCCCCACACTCTTTCCTGTCTTATGTTCTATAATTCGGAGACACAGACATATTTAGGGGTTGCATCAAACAGGCATTCTTCTTTCCAGAAGTTACTGCCTATTCCTGAAACTAATGAATCTGATGCGTATGTGCTCCTCAGCACGCTCACTGAAGTCTGTGGCTCAAGGATGGAAGTCAGACAGCCAGAACTTTTGTTGTGAGCTTACAGTCTTATACATACTTGGACTGGGATAAATCTGCTGGCTCTGCAAGTAGTTCTGGATACTTATACTTTTCAAAGCTCTAGATGCTGCGAGAAAATATGACAGCAAAGCAAATGGGCATTGTCAAGGTTGCCAGAGCATGACCAGCTCTTAACTGTGCTTGCAAAACCAACAGAATTAGTGTGCTTCAGTGTAATGGTGCATGGCTCCTGACACCCTGCCAACAGCTACTGTGAGCCAGCAGGCCTCAAAAGGGGAGCATTTACTTGCAAAGGAGAAGAGCCCAAGAAATCTCAAGAAAAATCCAGCCAGACTTCATCTCCTCCTCCCATTCCTTCCAAAACTTCCTCCATCCCTCTGGGCAAGTATTCTCTCTTATGGCAACCATGTAAAGAGCAATGTTTAACTCTGAGCTGGTGGGAAGAGTAGACAAAAACTCTCTCGCATTCAGTAGCAAAAAGCTGGTGGTGGCTGTCTCCTACCCACTTCTCCCACCACAAGGGAGCAAGCAGGAAGTGCAGACTGTTATATTTGGAGGGATGGAAGGCTGGAGTGTGAGTTAAGGAGCAAAAATAGATTAAGATGGCTGTGTAAGAGTGCATGCTTGTATCAGAAAGTCCCATCTTCACCTCAACTAGCTCTCACATATAAGAAGGGGTAAGACACAGGCAGAAAAGACATTTCATAATTAAATGTCTGTATAAAGATATGGTTAAAGGCAGGCAGAGACACCCATTTATATCCCCTTATTGCAAACCTCTTTCCCTCTTCAGTAACTTTAGAGAAATTAGCATCATGTGGTAAGTATCCTCTAAGTGGACATGGGGACAACAGGATGGATCAGAACCTGAACTGCACAGAACTGAAATTCTTTCAAATACCTGTTAGAACAGAATTATAAAGGGATTGTAAAAATTCGCAAAAAAATTTATATTACTCATAACAAAGCTTGATAGTTATGTATACCTTATTTAAGGGGAAGCAGTCATTATCCTTTCTAATCAGACTGACATTTACAAAACTGTAGGAATTAATATAGAAGAACAGAACCAGGAGAAAAAGTTTTTACTTAGTAACTGCCTCACAGTTTTGAGACTGCTAGATCTATTAGTCTATAAATGAGCTCTTCACTTAACTCCACTGTAAAAAAAAAAAAAAAAAAACAACAAAAAAACAAACCACACAAGTGAGAAGTAGAACTAGAAAAATGCATATTGAAGATATGCCAAAAACGGCTGCAGAACAGGCAAAAGATTTTTCAAGGTTAAGTTTAAACTATGAAGCAAGCAAGCAATCATTACAATTCAAAACCAAGCAATGACCATGGTAACTGGAACTGGCATGATTTCAAGTCAGTGACTAAATTTTTAGGAAATATTTAGCTTACTAGTCTAGCCACATTTTCCATTCCATTCCCTTAGTTCTTCCCATTGTCATCTGAGCTACTTTCAGAAAACAGTTGAAAACTGTGCTGAATTTGTATAAAATACACAGCAGTGAAGCCAAGCATGACAGTCAAATTCTGATACTGCCTGTGAAGAAAAATTCCATTAAAGTGTCTAAAAATAAATCAGGAGGAAAAGAGAAGATTTGAATTATGACTTATCTTGCTTATGAGGAATATGAGGCTACAATTTTACTAAAGATAACATGGCTAGGGACAACTTTAATATTTTTTTTTGCTTTCCAAAATGCAGGAATTAGTAAATGGAAATATTTTAAGTACAACCAACCCAGAGCACAATTATTTCTTTCAAATCCAGAGTACACACAGTACTCCACAGTAGTGGAATATTTACATACTAAATTCCAATTTGGCTAAAACATGAGATTGTGTGATTTGATATTGCTTTTAATACGCACAAGAAAGTTTCCTAAAAAAACCCCAATAATTAATCAGAACAACCTTGTCTGCTACTCCATTCTTGCAACTTTGTGTTCTGAAAATTTGATTACAAATTAATATCTTATTAACACAATTCACTCAAATCTAGTATAGCTGTTTTATAACAAGAACCCCAAACTTTGAAAATAACATTTTTCATCTTAACCATGGACAGTTAAAACACCTTTGACTCGGCTATTTGCTACGTACTGTACAGATATAGCTAGATACCAACGACCAAAATTTTGGTATACATTTTTACAATGTGCTGACAGAAAGCAAATATTTCCTTTTGCTGCCCTACAAATCAAGACTAATGCTAAGCTCCCAGACCTGCAGCATACTGACTGCTGTTTATACTATTGAGTAGTGATGTAGCAAGGGAAAAGACTCTTCTGCTCTACTTCATAACCTCATTAAACTAATCTGTTCAGAAGGCACATGAACAGATGACAACTGCTTCCTCAAGACTGCTAGCTATTAGTCCTCATCCCAGTAACAGAAAAGTAAACAGTTAAACCCAAAGCTCCAAGTAGATGATTTCCCATCCTTGAGGAATACTCAACCACGTCTGAGATGTTTGCTTCATACACCAAGGAATCTGACAGAAGAATGAATCAACACAGCAAGACAATAATAAAAGACAGAATAAAAGACAACTAGCAGACAGTTACTCTCTCCTCTCTGAGTACTTCAGTGCATCCTACAGTTTTCCTCAAGCCCATACTTACAGCAGCATACCTTGACATCTCTGCTACGTGGATCTGGAAACAAGACTGGACACCACAATGTCATCCTCCCTTTCCCCAAACACCTCCTGATCAGAAGCATCTTTTGTCACGTTTACAGCTTCAGTTACTTCCTATGCCACAAATCACTGAGGAAGATGTATGCATCAGAGCCAAAATTACGTACTCCATTTATCACTAGAACAAGCCGCACACGTTGCGATGTATGTTTCTGTGTATATGTACGTATATTTGAATGGAAAGTATATTTGTATTAACAAGATACAGGCTGAGACTGTGATGGACTAGTTCTGCTTGTACATCACTTGAACAAAGCCTTCCCTCTAGGCTGCAGACGAGGCTCCTGATTCTACCTGGCCCAACCTAGCAGATGTGTTGTTAAATCCCACACGGAAAAGTCTACTGTTTTATGGAACAGAAGGGTAAAACCAAAACCAACCCAGTTACAGTATAGTACAGATCATGACTTGGAGAGTGCTGAGGCTGTCAGTAGGAAAGCATATGGGGCTTTGTAAAAGGGTGTGCTCATCTCGGTAAAGCAGCTTGCGTTCTCTTTCTCAGTGTGGTACTAACCATGGCAGTCTGAGGCCAGGGGCCTCCTCTTAGCTGGGAGGCTTGTTATGTTGCAGTCAGGCTGCATTAGCTTTAGGACCTGCACCCACTGCAGTTTGGATTGCCAAGTGTTCAAGCAGCTTAGAGGTTGCATGGGTGCACCGCAAAGGCTGGCCCAGAGTAGAAACCAAACGCTTCAGAGAAAACTCCTGGACACACTGTTGTGATACTTCATCACAAAAACTACTGAAAAAATATAACCACGGACTGTTGAAACTAGTCAGAGAGTGGGAGAAACAGGTCTAGGCGGCATGCGCTCTTTAACCTCTGAATGTTTTTCTCATATTAATAAACCCATAAACTTCACCATTATCTGTGAAATGCTTCTAGGCAAACATGTCTCTCAGATATTAGAAAAGTTCACACCTAAGATTGAGTCTTCTACTTGTAAAAATCTACGTGTGTTTTCATTAATTCTGTCAGATGCTGTTCTGGACCTAAAAGAAACTCTAAACACATAAGAAAGAAAACATGGTTACATGTACTCCTGTAGAGAAGGCTTAGATAGGAACAAAAGAAATAAACGTGTTCAACATAAACAAATGCAGACACTGTGTCTCAGAGAACATTTCAAAGCACAGATATTTAAAGATATTTTTCTGCCAGTAAATTTTTGTAGTGGAGAGAGATCTAGAGGTGGTAGGTGTCAAATTGTCAGCATTCAATTCAAGAGAGCAAGAATATGGATTGGTTTATTGCATATGAATTTGCTACCATGTCAGAGTGTTTCACTGACGGTTACACTGCATCTTTGGTTGCACCTAGCAGACTGTACTTCCAAATGGAGAAAGATATAAACTGAGGTGTTTAGGGAAAGAAAAAAAAAAAATTAAGACTGAAGATTGCATATTCTGTGTAAAATTTTTATCAGAGCCACAGTTCACTGTTGAAGGGAAACCTGTTTCTAGTTACTTCAGCTTTTGAAACAGGAAGAAGAATAATTAGCACAGTGTGAGGGATTTTTTCATTCTTACAATTTGGAAGAAACTAGAAGGAAAACACAGTCAATAGAGTAGGAAAATTGTATTGATCTTTCTGCACTACTGTGACAGATGATTCTTTTTTTAATTGGATTATTTTTTACACGTAACGTAAAATAATTTTGCTGCTTAAATTCAGTTTCCTTTTGGGTTGGGGGGAAAAAAGATAGGTATTGTTCTCTCTTTAATTTTACTAGTTGTTCCGTGTTTTTTTTTATGACATAGGCAGGACAGAAAGCTCCTGATCTACGTGTTTGATAACATTTACCATCCAGTATCATCTTACAATGCTCTTTTCTTTAGCCTTTTTCACCCTTTGTGGAATAATTAACCATTTATTTTCTCTTCCATTTTTTTAACAAGTGTTTTGTTTTTTGTTTTTTGGTTTTTTTTCCCCAGACTTTATCTTGTTTGGTTTTTGTGAGTTTATTTTGTATCTCTACAGTATTCTAATGATCAGTACATCTCACAGTATCAACAGTGATTGAGCATCAGAAGTGCTTGTCAACCCAGGGCAGGAGATGGGAAGGAGGGTTACTGCTTTCTACTTAAGTGCTTGCAGATACAAGGCATACACATTCTCTTAAGCATAACCTACTGTCATTTATCTGGCCAGCAGTGAAGAGCTCATTGTGTGTCTGAACTTTTGACTGTAATAAAGTACACAATACATTAATCACAGGTAATTTAAAGACCCTGTTTAAGAAGGCAGTAGTACTTTCCTAAGAAGGAAAGCATGGGGTTCTAGGACAAGCCTTCTGTGACTGCTTCACATGCAGCGGTGACATTGCAGAAGAAATCATCTAGATGCCTAAAATTATTTGCTCTATAGTGTACTCATATCAGGTCTTTATCAGTTACTCAGGAAAAGTGAGATGTTTCTAGAGTTTGTTCCAAAAGACTGCAAAAAAAAAAAAGTGGGAGCAGCTAACTAATCCCCTATTGTTATTGGGAAATTAGTATTAGAATATTATCCAGAACAGTATTCCTGGAGTCCAGCTTCTGCTATACCCAGTGCCCAGGGCAAATCATAAAGAGATCGAACTGCATTTAACCTCATTAAAGCAATCCATTGAACTCTGTGTACTCTACCGAAAAGGATCATTACTCCAGAATGCATCAACGTGTTCCAAATTGCTCTGCTACACAAGATGAACTAGTTGCTCATGTATGCAATATATGCTCCTGGTTTTATCCTTTTGTTCCATAAAACAGTAGCCTTTTCCGTGTGGGATTTAACAACACATCTGCTAGGTTGGGCCAGGTAGAATCAGGAGCCTTGTCTGCAGCCTCCAGGGAAGGCTTTGTTGTTCAAGTGATGTACAAGCAGAACTAGAGCATCACAGTCTCAGCCTGTATCTTGTTCATACAAATATACTTTCCATTCAAATATATGTACATATACACAGAAAACATACATTTCATTGTACATATACATACTGCATATATACAATATATAGACAAATATATCTAATTATTTAAAACTACTGCTCAAATTCAGTTTCTTCACAATATTGACATTTTTCAAAAATATGTCCACACAGATGAATATTGTACATTCTTCTCTCTTGCAAAAGGTTTAAAATATGAACTGTGCTATTTAAAGTCTGCTAAGGAAACAAGCCAATGCCCCAATTCTCCATGTCATCTTTAAAACAAAACAAAAAGATGATTTAATCAAAACAGTACAAGTATCAGTGTGGATACTTATGCCAATTTAATTTGTCTGTTAAATTTATAGGACATGTTTATATTGATTTTAGACCTCTCAGTGCAATCTATGAATACACAAAGCATTAATCTGACAGTGCTGGAGATCTTAAGGGATACCTAAATTAAGAAACAGGTAGATGAACCAATAACCCCGGTCTAATGAAGCACACAAGTCCTTACTCTGTTACTGAGCCTATAGAAATTTCTACATGCACTCCTTGTCTCTGTAGTAAGCAAATGCGGAGGTATGCTCTATTCACATCAGCAGTTATCACTAGATCTTGTTTATTCCAGGGTACGTCTTGTGCTCCCATAATTTCAGCCAGCAGCTAAAAATGGGTAGGAAAATCTTATCATCTTGGACTACTTCATCATTCTCTGCACTAAGAACTAAGGGTGCAGAAGGTTTATCTTAGAAAAGACAAGACAATTTACAGTAAGGTGAGCATATAAAAAAATTACAAAGTTAAAGCTGTCATTTTACACAGAATTTATTTTCTTCTAGCTCTGCAAAACCCTACAGATTTTTTCCCTTTCCCCCAAGATTGCTCAGAAGAAAAGCTTCAATAATCGGGTATCGCTGATAATGGATTACCTCTGTCCTGAAAAAAAAAGGGTAGATTATCCTACATACAAGACAGAGTTCAGATGCCAACATCAAGCCAGTTCCAAATACACTTTAAAATTAAAGGAGGACCTAATTTCAGGCAGAATGCCAATGGTTGCATTTCAGGGAACTTGAACAATATATCACTACATTTTAATACTTATTTCTGTAGTCTTTCCAAAGTTATGCTTTATTAAGACAAAGAGTAGCAACAAACACCTCCGCAGCAGCAAAGGTAGAGAAACAGCATTTCATAATGAAAAACTAATCAATGTAGAATTCCAAACTAGTCTTGCATTATTTTGATTATGATTTTAAAATCAAAGGGCATTTATAACAACAGATAAGGCTGCTGAGTTTATAATCTTACTATTAGTATATATCGCTAATCTCTAGACTTACTATAGGGGAAAAACTTTGGGAAGACTTGCCTTGTTAGGAGGCCATTAAGATAATTAAGGGGCTAGAGCACAGGATATATAAGAAGAGTCCTTGCTGTTGATGGTGTTCCTTACCCATGTGCTTGTTCTGAGTAAACCTAAAGGAACTTAACATACCTGACATGCCTACTCCTCTGTCAAGTGTCACTGCACCAGCCAGTGGATTCAAAGTCTTTCAACTGGAGGAGAGGACTTACAGGCATATTGAAATGTAAATCAGGAACAGGAATCTTGTTTCCTCATGGAACCAGATTATTTTCTGTATACAGTGAAGATATAACCAGAAAACCCCCGAACAAAACAAAGAACCTCAACATTCCTCTACCCTCCAGACTGAAGTGCTTTTATTAATCCTTACCTTAGAACTTGTCCTCGTATAGATCTTCTTATGTCTTACTCCCTTCTGCTGGGCCTGCTGGTGGTGGTGGGAAAAATTTAAAAATGAGACTGTTTTTACACAATGCACTGGGCAATGTCCACATGCATCAGCTGCACTATTAACTTCCATACCTTTTTTTTTAAAAAAAAAAAAAAAAAAAAAAAAAAAAAAAAGAAGCTATCTGCCCACACTTCTGCATGGCTTCCAACCTTCATACTTGCCATTGCAGTATAAAGAATAAGGTGACAAATATCCTCACAATAGAGAAGAGCAGCTAATTAACCACATTACTAAAGTGCTTACGGCATAAACAACTCATTCCAGTCTCTAAAACCATTGTCATAAATACTTAACTAATACTCTCATTGTGGCTTACTGCTGTGTTTCAGGGGGGAAGGGGCCCCCTTTCTCTTCGGGAAGTGAAAAATTCTGCATTAAACAGGCAAACTCTGGAGAGTGTCTCTCTTCCTAGGACTAACTGGGGTGTTTGCTGCACAGGTAAGGGATTTTAGAATACCAGTTCTGCAGCTTACAGTATTTAGATACCCAGCTCTGAAACAAAAATAACTATATTCTGAAGATATGCAATGGAGCTGACTTGCTGAGGGCTGATATACCAGGCCCTTGTCCTATTAGGTAGAAAAGTTTGAACTACTCTGAACAACACTATATTTCTTTTCAAATGAATGCTATTCAGTGTAGCAGATTTTGAAATAACCCAGTTCTAGTTTCCTGCAAAATACAGTTATTACAACAACTGCGTGCACAAATTATTTCTCCCTTAAGTTGCTTTCCTCTGAAAAACGTAACAAAAATAATCCAGTGCTGGTGCAGCTACATGAAAGTTACACCTGTTTGCTAACATAATGTAGCTGTGTACACCCCAAGAACAATTAAGCACGCTCATTGACATACCAGCAGTCTATGAGATTTCTTCTCTTTCCTGAGACAGTGGGAATCAGCAACACGTGGTCTTTCGCAAAATGGCTGAAAGCTCAGGTAATTGTCCTCTAACTTTAGAAGTTTAAGCAAGAGTAGAAAAAACGAGATATGGTAAAGCCTAAGAGTGTGAACACCACAGATATGAGCACTTTCATATGTTAATCTTAGAGAACTTAAACCAGTTGATTCTACAGCTGGACATCTCCAGCACGTACTCCCACCAATAAACCTGGACTTCAAGGAAGTCAATCATTAATATAGTGCAATTAGGTCTGTCTATTTTTATATCAGAAAGGTCGTGTGACTGCCTGGTCAAGTACAAAAGCAGTAAATGCTAAAGGCTAGTATTACTTAGACAAACTCCACTGCACCCCCCCTCAAAACACGCCCCTTGCAAATGTATCAGAATATTGCAAATAAACCCAACGATAAAGGTATCCCCAAATGAGCAGACATTTAAAAGAAATTTTAGTTCTCAGTCACAATTCAAGGCTATGTATAGATGGAATATAAATAGCTATTTTTCTTTCAGACCATTAACGTGGTTTATCTATTTTAAGTGTTAATGTATATCTATCCACACAGCCTAACACAAGCAGTTTGAGTGGCCTCTCCAACCTAGCAGGCAGGGCAGGATGTGTTCTAAAGAGCTAGATGAATAGCAAGGACTAAATTCATGGTTTGCTGACAATAACTTGGTTGTCATTAACTCTATCCAGCTTCAGCACTTACAATCTAAACAAATGCCAGGGTAGTATTATCAGACTGCAATAACCTTGGTGTTGGAGATGGTAAGACACATGTGCAGTGTGGAGTGGTTTGCTTTGTTTGCTTGCCCGTCTGGCTTAAAATTACGGACAAGGTAATTTTAGTGCAGGAATAGCTTCTTCTCTCAGTTTTCCTTTACAGTCCAAATGATGAGGCTGATCAGGACACCTTTTCAATATTTCAAATTAACAGAATGAAGAAGAAAAGAGAACGAAGAGGAGAAAACAAAGGTTGCAATAAAAGGAGAGAGCTGGGAAGAGCAGAGGTCCTTAAATATGTGACAGGTCCACAGACAGCCTGTTAGAAACATTTACTTAGCAGCATTTAATTATTAACAGCAAAAAAGCAAAGCAGAAAGCTGCTCTCCCTCGCCTTCAAATTCTAGCTCCAAGAACACCTGCAAACTTTCAAATATTAATGACAGAAAAGACAGTGCAAAGATTCCCAATAGCTAATTATTGTGCAATACTATCCACTGCCATTTTGCAAATTACAAAGGACATAAGTATCATGCTTAGGTTGACTGGAAGCAACAAAGAGCTAACATAAAATGCTGCGGGAGTGCTTGGATTCGCGTTATCAATGCTGTTTCTGCAAAGTAACTATCTCAGAGAGGTCTTTTGCAACACAGTCAAACTATTAGCGATTGCACAATGAAGGAAATTTTAACAACAGGCAATTCCCTTTTCTAGTAATACAAAGCCCTAAATGAGATCCATGGCATTTCTATGCTCTGGGTATTCCTGGATGCTCTGACAATCCTATTGGGATTTCCCGTAAACCAGAAAAGCTTTCAGATGCTCCAGCTTCTTATAGGAACTGGACATAAAAATGCAAGGTTTCAAGACAGTGCAGTTCAATATAGAACCACCCACTTCCCTCTCATCACATCTAAATAGCACCTGCAAGGTATCATCCCTTCTGCTGCTCTTGGACACCACTTGGGGCTGGAGTCAACTAAGCATATTGCATCCACTTGGTTATTTGCTCTCCTGCTCATAGGCCCAGAGAGGCTGAGGATCATTTTGGCAAGTTCTCGTGGGCACCCTAAATTCAGTGTTCAGCTGGGTAACATTCTGGCAGCCCCAATATCCCAACAGCCATCATCCGCCTAAGGGTGTGTTGCATATACGTACGCATGCTTCAGAGTGCAGTTCCCTGATAACGACTAACATGAAAATAGATTCGTAACAAAGTTTTACTTTTGTGATAGCAATTTTTAAAAGTTCAAGGAAGAAGCTGCAGAACACAAGCTTTGGGTTTAGAGCTCTTCATGTGAATATGAACTGCCCCTTTAATTAGCAGCAGCTGGCCAAGTAAGCATAAACTGTGAGTATTTGGGTGAGCATTACCAGTAACCAGAGGATCCACCTTCACCTCATCCCCACATCTTGACATATTTTGCATTAAAAGCAAGCATAACAGCAGAGAGTATTAACGCATGCATTCACGCCAAGAAGCACCCACAAGCCATTTAAATGCCTTCGAGAGCCTCCACACACCAGAGCAAACTAAAAGGCTAAATCCGAAGCCTCCCAAGGCCGGCTCGCAGCAGAGGGGAGAGCGCCAGCTCCTCCAGGGACCGACAGCTCCCAGCGGTGCCGCGACGGGCACCGGAGCCCACGGAAGCAGCGGCTCGGGGCCGTGTCCCCACCTTCCCCCGGCCGCCCCACGCCAGCCGGGCACGGGCAGCGACCCACAGCCCGGCACCGGGAGCGCGTCCCTGCGCGGAGCCCGAGCAAGGCCGGGCTCGGGGCAGGCCCCCTCCTCGTCCTGCCGGGAAGGCGCCGCCGAGGTCCCGCCGCTCGGCACCCGGTTCCGCGCCCCCGAGCCGGCTGCCGGTGCCGGCAGAGGTTCGCCCGCCGCATCCCCGCCGCGCTGGGGCCGCCCTTACCGCCGCCATCCTCAGCGCCGCCGCGCCCGCCAGGCCGCCTCCGGGGGGAGCGAGCGCCCGCCGCGCGCATGCGCAACGGGCGCCGGCGGCGGGACGCGAGCGCGCATGCGCTCTTCCGGGCGGTGCGGGCACGTGCGCGGCGGCCCGGGCGTTGAGGCCGAGAGGGCGGGGCTGCGGGGGGGGGGGGGGGGTGGGCGGGGAGGGGGCGGGAGCGGTGAGGGGCGATGGGGGCATGTGAGGGGAATGGGGGGCTGTGAGGGGAATGGGGGGTGGCGGGGTGCTGTGAGGGATGATGGGGATGGTGAAGGGCGGTGGGAGGTGATGGTGGTGGTGAGAGGCAAGCGGCTGTGAGGGGCAGGGGAGCTGTAAGGGACAATGGGGGGCGATGGGGGTTTGTGAGGGGAATGGGGGGCTGTGAAGGGTCGAGGGCAGTGAGGGACGACGATGAAGGGCGGTAAGGGGCGATGGGGGGTGATGGGGGTGGTGGAGGGGCAGGGTGGCTGTGAGGGGCGATGGGGGGCTCTGGAGGGTTGGGGACAGTGAGGGACAACAATGAAGGGCAGTGATTTTATGTTCCAACAGCAATGGATTCATTTTGGAAACAAAGGATTCCCATAGTGTTTATTTGACTTGACTTGGCAGCAGTGTTCTGTTTACGACTGGATAAATAACTGCCACATTATAGATTACTAACTCGGTATGCTTAAGTGACCAATAAAATACTAGCCTTTTATATGGTGTTGTAAACGTCCACACCTTGATAATGCAGGCTCTTGCCAAACAGATAACAAATCCCTTACCCAGAAGATTTATAACCTAAAAGAAACCGCAAAGGACCACAAGGAAAGATCAAGACATGATAATGAAACATGAAGCAGAAAGAGGAGTTGTAGCCATTGCAGCTGGATTTGAAATGGGGTCTTTCATATTTATCTTAAAGCTACTAGGCAGTGATCAGAAGCAAGACAGACACAGCACCCACTGTTCCGGGGCAAATGGTCAGTAGGGTCTTGGGCATTGCAGTGACTGGCAGTGCTGGGTGCTCTGCTCTGACAGCGGCTTGTGCTTCAGCAGTCAGGGCAGTGCCACTGCTTCCAAGAAGGGCTAGGCTCATAACTCACTGAAAGCACTAAGAAGACCTGATAATATGCACTTCCTTCAGGGCTTCCTTGTGACTGGCTCATACTGCTGTGGAGAGCAATGAACTCGTGTCACAGGAGCATGTGACAGCCATTTCCAGAAGCTGTGCTGAGAAATCATCCGTTTATCCAAATTTAAGCTGGAAATATGCATTATTTTACATTTTGTGTTTGTGTTTGATTCTGTAGGTTCCTAGATGGCACTTGCACACATGGAAAAGATTACATTCCCTACACCAAATGAAGTGGATCTAGCAAGGAAAGTAGGCTTAGAACAGGACAAAAGTAGATGGAGGAGTGTGGGAACAGAGACAAGTGTGGGCAGTATTTAATAAGATTTTGTAGGATGAAAAGCTTCCATCTGTCTTTAGTATTTATATCATCCTTTCACTGTAGTATGTGAGTCGTATGTGGTCTGTATATTTGGGCTTAAGGTGCTCCTCTGAGATCAAGCAGTGCTTGTATTCCCATGTTTCTTCAGGGAAACTGCAGCACAAAGAAGGTGCTCACATGGTGTGAACAAAGCTGGGGATTGACAGGCGTTAGAAAAGCAAGAGCAGGCACAGGGAGATGGATTGGACTTCAGGAATTTCTCTGCTGAAATGTGAACTGTGGTTTGAACAGAACATACCCTTCAGCCTGTGAGTTGTTCTTAGTGTTCAGAAAGTAGAAGTAATGGAAGGCTCTTTCCGAACTTCCATACCGATGCTCAGCGATGCACTATCAAGATATATCTTAGGAGTATAATGGCGACACTTTTGTCACCCAGGTCTCTGCGTTGCCTGATGGTTTTACCATTCCAGTAACCCAGGTGCCATAGGGGATAGTGTTCAAGGAGGTAGAGACCTGCACAGAGTTAAGATCAATGTGGGGAGATCTTTCAGAAGGGAGGCCTGTGTGATGGCAGGATAAAAGGAGCCAGCAGCCTGTGGACTACTGGAAGTTGAAAAAATGGCACATGATGTGAACAGACTGGATGCTGTGTGCTCTTAAACCTTTGGAGACTGCATGGCTGTGTGAATAATCTTCATTAGCCTGTACTCAGGCTGTTGGACTGTCTGTGACTATGTGAGAGGGAGGGTGAAATCCATGCTTGACTAGATGATCGATGGCTGATGGAAAACATGTTTGAATGCATCTACTTTTCTTCCTGGAGCAGGATGTTCATTGCTGGCACCTTTGCAGAAGCCAAGGAATGCTAAGGCTCTAAGTACTTGTCGTGATTTGAGCCTGGTCGGCAGCCAACCACCAAGCAGCCACTCCCTCCCCCTTCTCTTCCGGCAATGAGAAGGGACAGAGAGCCAGGCTTGGGGTTCGAGGCAGGACTAGGATGGGAAAATCACCCTTTATGGTCATGAGGGAAAGGCAGACTCGTTAAGGGAAGAAAAAAAAGAACATACATTTATTACAGACACAAACAACACATAACAGAGTAGGACAGTGAGAAGCATTGCCACATGTTGAGAACACCTTCCCCCCACCCCTCCCTTCTTCCCGGGCTCAGCTCTGCTCCCGATATCTCTACCTCCTCCCCCAGGGGCGCAGGGGCAGGGAATGGGGGGTGCAGGCAGCGCTGCCGCTGCTGCCATCTGCGGTGGGGGGAGCTGCTGGAACTTCATCCCCTGGATCCATCGTGGTCCCCCTCTCACAGGAGACAGTCCTCCACAAACTTTCTCTGATGTGAGTCCCTCCCACAGGCTGCAGCATTTCCTTACACTGCTCCGGTGCAGGACACCAACTTCCTCCGACTGGATTCCCTCCCACGGCTGCAGCCCTTCCCGAGCTGCTCCGGCGTGGGACTCCCCCGCATGCTGCAATCCTCCCAGTGCTGAATTACAGCAGTGGGGCTGCCTTTTCCCACGAGACCTCGGCCTTCTTCGGGCACAGAACCTTGATAATTCAGGTGAAAAACACAGGCCATAAATCAGTGTCTGCTCCACCGTAGATCTCCATGGGTGGCAGGGGGGGCCGCCCTGCCGTCTCCCCACAGGATACAGGGGGGTCTCTGCTGCGGCACACCTCCCCCCTCCTTTCTTCCTCCGTTCCTCCACTGACCTTGGTGTTCACGCAGCTGCCACAACTGCTCCTCACAAGTGCCACTCCTCCCCACCACGTCTCTTCTTAAATACATTATCGCAGAGGCGCAGCTGATGGGCTCAGTTTTTCATGCAGAGGCAGAGCTGACTTGGAGCTGGGGGAGCTTCGAGAAGCTTCTCACAGGGGGCCGCCCCGATAGCCCCCTCCCCTGCCACCAAAAAACCCACCACTCACTCAACCCAGGACAGTACTAAATCCTGCAGTGGCTCGAATTAAAAGCAAGACTTGGTGACCCGCTGGACACTGAGGGCAATGAGCCTGCAAGGGCTTTCTAGGAATAAATGAAAGCTATTCACTTATCGGGCTGCCAATCGACATCTTCCCTGGGTGTTGCTGAACTTTCACGTGGCATGAACTAAGTAGTTCCACAAGTGCAGTGTTCAGCGAAGCCTGTTTGCCTATGAGATTGTGTCTTGAGGACAGCTTTTCTCTCTCTTCTCCAAAGACTAATAACGGGTGAGCTCATACTGAACCATTTCTTTGTGTAGGATGCTATTCCACTTGAGTATTCATTTTCCTGCAGTGTATTGGAACAGAAATTTCTCCAGTGCATGCGGTTGTGTATCTCTCATTTTCTTATGAAACCAGGCCAGAGTTATGGTCTAGGCACTGGATGTAATGGAGTTCTTTTGGCAGGGGCAATGAAGGGACTGGGAGGCTGGATTGGGAAAGGACATAAAGAAAATAAAAGAGAAAATAAGAGGCGTGGGAAGGGAAGGGGAGGTGAAGGAGAGGAAGGGAGAGGAGAGAAGAATGAGAAGGAGGAGAAGAGAAGGAGAAGGAGATGAAGGAGAAGGAGAAGGAGAAAGAAGGAGAAGGAGAAAGAAGGAGAAGGAGAAGAAGAGTGGGTGGAAAACTGTCTGTGTGGGTGTCCAACAGCCTTGGAGAGGAGGCTAGCACTTGTATGGCGGGCAGGAGAGTGGCTGGAGCATTGGCAGAGAATGCCGGAATGCGAGGAAGGGACTTGGGCCAAGACCTGAGCTGGGCTAGTAAAACGGTGGCTTTGCTGGTCACACAGCAATGATTTTTCGCAGGGTTGCTTGCACGGAAAGCTGATAAGCCTGGCAAAGTGTGCCCTCCTGTGGGTAAAACTGGGAATTACCATGGGATAATTAAGCAAATCTTTTTCCTATCACGTGCCAGCATCTTAATAGGAGGTTTGCCCAGTGGTGTGGATCACTTTCTCTTCCACCTGCAGCAGCCAGACCTGGTTCCCCACCTCTGGATGAGCTGCTGGTGTTCCTCCTGACAATGACGGTGAGGCAAAAGCCAAAGGTGCCAAAACTGGGAGAGTGCTGGTGGATACTTTAATGACACTAAAAGGGACGTTGTTGCAAACACGACCACGCATTTCTCTGTGTCTCCGAGAAGTGCTCTGCTATGTTTGCCATTTGGTTGGATGGGTTACAGCCAGGTTTTGCTGCTTTGTCCCTTCCCTCTCCCCAGCTACGGTACCTCCTGCCTTCTAGGGGCAGGCAGTCATCTTGTCGTACCATGAACACCACAGGAAGGGTTAGCTTTTGGTACTGGGTGATCCTCCTGCTGTGGACAGGGGATTTGGTAGGAGGCAATTTGCAGCCTCCTTTCTGGATGACTTTAACCCCTCTCCTCCACGAGGGGACCAGGACATAGCTGTGTGGTGACACGTGCAGTATGGTCTCAGCATATTGCATCAGGTGTGATGATTCCCTGCTAACATCTGGCTTTGGCTGCAAGTGCTGCTGTTGCATTAGATACCCAGTAGGGTCAGGTCCACAGAGATCCCTCTGGCTGTTGGGCACCTTGGGGCACTCTTTCCAGTTCCTGATTATCTGGAGGAAG